AATGGAGCCAAAACCAGTTATTTATTACTGTTTGTCCTGTTTTAATTGATTGTTCGATTTTACAGTTTTAAATGCATGATAATATACTAAAAATGGATAAGATGATTCAGTTATATTTTCTTGATGCATGTATTTCTTGTCTTTTATGATTTACAGTTAAATTGTGAAACTCAAAATCAAATGTAAACGAAAAATCAAATGGTTAAGTGAATGAATGAATGATAGCCTTACTGGATATACTGGAAGATGGTGGACAGACCGGGTACATAGGGAACCCTACCGTGAACGTCGTCTCATACCGGATGGGGTATCGAGGATTGATATTTTTAGCGCTCATATCGGACGGGGTATGAGGATGACCCGTTTCACCCTCATACCGGACGGAGTATTGAGGGATGATACTTTTGTGGCTCTTACCAGACGTGGTATGAGGACGACCGATTAGTTGACAAGTTTTGATATGGGTTCACGTGTAGTAGGACATCCCTATGAACCCTCATGAGTACCAGTAAGCAAATAAAAAATGAAAGTTGTTATTCTTACTTACTTGAATATGAGATTATGATGTTGTTGAGCTATTGTCTTTATCGGTCGGTCTTAAAAATCTTACAAATGGTAAGTATACAATAAATGATTTTACTTATGATAAATGAATTTACTTAAATTAAAAGCTCTATTAGTTGTTTTTATAATTTTTACCAATCTTTATTTCTGTATCGGTGAGTAGTGTGATATTCTTACTAGGCTAGTGTAGCTCACCCTTTCATTAACTATTTCAGATCAAGAGGACCAAAATTCAGATCCCGATCAATAAGGGGATTGTAAATAGTTCACCACCCGAACTCCCTTTAAAAGCTAGTGAATGTCATCTTAGGATATCTAATTGTTTATTTTTTATTTATTTCTTGATTTTTTGCTTATTTTTTTAAAATGATTATTTTCGTAACCCTATTGGTATTCTAAATTATTGTGTAAAGAATGTAAATCCTAATTCTATTATTTTGCTTTCGCATTCAATTCATGTCTTTATCTCCATTTCAAGTTCCGGGGTATTACATCTGTTGTGTATTAATAACGCATATTATGTATCACATTTTACATATATTTTTTATCAGTTTTTTTATGATACATGTTATGTGTAAATGTTTATAAAATATGATATTTTTTTTTACGTTCAATTTTAAAAAAATGATATTGTTTTTGTTTATAACGAATTTAGACACTTATTTTCTTTTCACTTTTCCTTGTAAAATGAATGATATAGTATAAAGTGTATCAAAATTTATAAAGGATTATATTTTTGTTCAAATTTGAAGAATTAAATTGTTTCTTTGTGCTACAACTAATATCCCGCGATAAAATGTAATTCTTTTAAATATAATTTGGTTAGTATTTAGACAGATTATTAATATAAGTGATATATTTCAATTGGTACATTGAGTTATGTCCGACTCACATAACAAACATAGTACTACTAATAACTTATCTTTGATGCATCTATAGAACTATACAATAATGGATAAGTATCATATTAGACAATACTAGTAAAAAAATTTAGAAATTTTGTATTATTTTATAAATTCAAATTTATTTTAATCAAAAGAATATATAAATGTGATAAAAAGATGATAAAAATAATTGACTCGTAAAGATATATCAAATTACCCAAGTCCCTAGAGGGTGAGATGAGATTCTTACACATGGATGAATGGTGTCCTCATTATGAAGGTTTAATGTGATTTGACAAGGTGGTGGTGCCCCCTTAGTTGTATTTTTTTTTTTTTACCTTATAAAATATCTCTTTTAAATTTATTATCTCCTCGTTTTCTTAGTATTTTTATGTATTTTGTTTTGTATATTTAATTTATAGGGATATATAAGAGTGAGTATTTCCTACTATTTTTTGCAACCTCGTCACTTGCTCTTGCCGTGGCTGCCTTTGCCCGGCCTAAAAACCCATATACGTCCGAGCAAGATGTCTTTAGATCCACTATCTCCTCATCAATCGAATCCAACTCTCTCCTCTGCTCTCTACTTGGTGGGCAGGGTTCATATAAAGAAGATCACTAATGACATATACTCCTAGATATGATGAAGAGTCTGTAGAAGCTAACTTAAAGAATGGAAGCCCAAGTGCGCTCTACAGAATTTATTTTTTTGTTTCAGTTCAAAATAGAGCATGACCTCCACAAAATCTACCATGGTATTTATATAAATGAACATAACTAAATTAGTTGTTTCATTACAACTTCAATAATAATGAACATACAAATAATTATATTTTATGAATCTATTATTTATTTTAATTTATATTTGATTTTATTAATTATTTTAATTAAAAAAGATCATTTAAAATAAATAAAAATTTTGATTATATGCATACAATACATATATACTAACAAAAAATTTTTGATTTTTTTGTTCATATGATGAAGCTTTACGAAGCTTTATGTTTATATCTTCCGGTATTTTATATGTAAAACATTGTTGTATATGCATATATATTATTTAATCAACATAATTAATAACTTCTCAATCTGGAGTTGAAGATCCTAATTACCTCCACATTTGAAGGCTTTGCTTGTTGTTCCAATTGATTTGATCTACCAACTGAATATATATATATATATATATATAAAGTTATATTTAATTTGTTCGCTTGGTTTTAAATTTTTTGTTTGTAATAAATCTAAAGTTGGCACATGTGATGTTCATAATTCCTCTTTTAAATTGATCACATCACATGACCTGGATTAGCTGCAATCATAATATATTAATATATATATATATATACACATATATATATGCTTTTATGTGAGTGACTTCGATGATGCAGCTGGTTCAAAATTTGAACCTCTCTCCCTTTCCCAGTCAAATATATATATATATATATATGCATGCATTATTGACGCATGTCATATGTGGAATGGTAGGTTATCAGTTTTATCTGTTTTTTCACCATTTTAGTCAAATACACGGGAAGAAAGGAAATAGTAGTGTTGATTTTAATTAATTTCAGCTACAGTCATATATATATATATATATATATGTATGCATATATTTATAAAGAATAGCTTGTTATAATGTATTCTAGGATTTACAGTCATTTATTCTAATATCTTTGAACTAAACCAGACTTAATATCATTTAACATCAAATATAGGGAGAAAACCTTATGCATTTAGTGAATTTAATTTAATAGAAGAAAATATATACTGTATATATTTTATTATATATTTTGTGAATTTTACTTATTATAAGCAAATACATGCAGCATGTATTTGGGTGATTTTGATATTATTAGAAAAATTTAAGTCCTACTTTGGGTGACTTCTGGCTTTTGCTTTTGTGTATTAAAAGCATTTTCTGTTACTAAACAGATAAATTAAAAATTAATTTGGGTAAAAGTTAAAATAAAATATGTTTTGAATAAATTTAAACACAAAATTATAACGGGTATTACTTTTTTTTTTTTTTTTAAATACATAATAAGTTTAATAAATTGTAAGTAAAATTTGAGAGTAAAATTGTGAAATAATTTGATAAAAAGGAATACCCTTATAACATTTAGAGAAGAGAATTCAATCTCAAATATAAAAAAAAAAAAAAAAAAAAAATCATAATACACATTAATGTGCAATCCAAAAATTAAATACATATATATACATATATATATATATATATATAGATAACTATGTCTTCTGATCCCAAAACATGCCAAATAAATACATTCTATACATGGTGTATATAATTGTTTTTTGATACATCACTCTCTTTTTACTTTAGCCTTGAAAATATATTATTTTAAAAGATTATGAAATCTGTTGGTGAATGCGAAAAATCAAAAGGCTGGGAAGAGTAGGAACGTGTATATTAAATAATTTTGAAGTATTAAATAATGTTATCTTCACTCGAGTACTTAAAAAACATAAATAAAAAAAAAAAATCTTATTCAAGTGGCAAAGAGAAGGACCACGAAGAAGCTTTCTGTCAATGTAGTTGGCCACCAAATCAATGTCAACAGCTTCTGGCAAACTCAGAGCTTGCTAGCTATTTTTGGGTCCAGTTCAAATTTCAGTACATTAAAGATAATCAATTTAAGTTTAATTCTATATCTGAGATACCCTTTTGAGTTTAATTTAAATTTTAAGTTTAGCTAATTTCAAATTAATTCCAAGTTATTTGCATCTGTAATTCATTCTTTAATGTGATAGTACAAATTGATAGTTATGGAATTGAAGGAGTAATTTAATTATGTACCAAATGTGTAAGTTACTGTCAATTTTTACATAATAAATAATTAAAATTCAAAAATTGAATGAGAATTGAAAATGTTTAGACTAAACATAACATGATTTTTTTTTAACTAGTAATACAAAATTAGGGATGATAATAAAACTAATTACGGAAAAAGTTTAATCAAACTCAAATTAAACATGTTCTTATAAAGAGCATATTCGAACTTTATATTTACTTTTTAGTTCGTATCAAGTTTGTAGGTTATTCAATTCAGATTTTATATATGTTATTTTATTATATTAATATAAATATAAATATAAATATAATTATATTTAATAATATGTATTACAATGTATATTAATTATATTTATCAAGATAATACATTGTATTTGTTAACATCAATATAACAATATTTAAAAGAAATTTAAAAGTCCAAACTCGAAATGACCACCGACCCCTCTTTTTCCTGCAATCCAAATTTGACTCTGACTCAAACTTTCACTTTTTCCAAAAATTAAAGTATCTAATTGGGTCCGAACATATCAAATTAGGCAGGTTCGGGTGTAAAATCTCTATAAAATTGCAGATTAATTTGGACAATGTGGGGGATGATAGAACTTATTAGACTGAAATGTTAGGTGGCAATGAAGGTGTGCGAGTTTTAGTTAGAAAATATAAAGACCGTAAAATTTATTTGGTGGGTTTTGTCTGTATTAATTTCAGTAGTGCATTAAAGTCATTGAAATCTCATCTTGTCCAAACTAGTAACCAGTCTTTTCAAACAAGCCAAATTTTACAACAATTTGGGAGTCACCCTTTTAAATGCATTCTTTCAAGTTTCAATTAACACAGCCGGCCGCTCCATTTCTTCTACCTCTATTTATTCAAGATTTTTCCTTGAAAACCCAGTTCATGAACTAAGCAAGCTCTGCAGAAACATCAATGGAGATCATCGTGATGAGGAAGACGAGTAGTGCTGAGGTAATACTTACAGTAATGTTGTTATTCTTTCTGGGTCAGGCTATGGCTGTGGACATTGGTAAACTGAGAGATTTAGCGGCGAAAAACAACGTTACGTGCATATTAGTTTTTGGAGATTCAAGTGTTGATCCTGGAAACAATGATTATATTCCAACTTCCATGAAAGCAAACTTCAGTCCTTATGGGAAGGATTTCTTCAATGGCCTTCCCACAGGAAGGTTCTGCAACGGCAGACTTGCAACTGACTTTATTGGTATATATTATTAAAATTATACACTTTATTTCTCTGCAACTTACTTTTTTTAAGTCTTACCAGTAAGCAGACATATAATAAATGTTTTTGTGGTATGGCATTAGTTAAAACTGTACGTATTAAATATAGATATATGTTGTATATATGTTTTATATATCCTGATATTTTTTGTATGTGCAGCGGAGGCAATTGGCTACTCCAAAGCAATTCCAGCTTTTCTGGACCCAAAATTAAGGCCGCATGATATTTTACACGGTGTTAGTTTTGCATCAGCTGCTTCTGGTTATGATGATCTTACTGCTAATTTATCTGTAAGTCAACATCAAGAAGCTAATCTTTTGAAAAGAAATTCTTACGTTCCAATAATTAGCTTGCACTTACTTACAATAATACAATCAACCTTTTAAATAAGACTCAGACTCGAATCTATAACCTCGTATGGAAGTGAAAGTAAAAAAAGCTGAATGATTTTAATGGGTGCTATATATTTGTTTCTGGAACAGAATGTGTTGTCATTTTCGAAACAACTGAAACATTTTATGTCCTACAAAATCCATCTGAAGAAACTGGTTGGTGAGGATGAAGCAGAAAAGATCATAAGAAATGCTATCTTCGTAATCAGTATGGGAACAAATGATTTTCTCCAGAATTATTACTTGGAACTCGTTCGATCTCAGCAGTACACCCCCAAGCAATACCAAAATTATTTGGCCTCCCTTCTTTTCCGAGATGCTAAGGTGCTCGTTTCTTTTCTTCTCTTCTCATTTCCATCAAGTATGATTTAAACTTATTCCAATTCTAAGAACTTAATATTTGTAATGTAGAAGTCGATCATAATTTACACATTTTATAGTAATTAAATGAACTAATTTTACTTATATCTTCAATTCTCTAACCATATATTTCATATTTCAACAAAAAAAAAAAATTATAAAAACAACCTACTTGAATTGCACTTTTGTTTATTAGAATTCTATATATTAAAACTGAAATTTGAACCACGAGGTTACTACTAATTATATATAAGCGAATTATATTGTGCAGGTGTTGCATAGACGTGGAGCGAGAAGACTGATAGTTGTAGGGGTGCCTCCTTTAGGGTGCATGCCCTTGGTGAAGACACTAATGAACTCAGAAACTTGTGTAGAAACATATAACAAGGTGTCCTCCTCATTCAACTCCAAGATTAAGCAGAAACTGACTAATCTCCAGGCAACTACAGGAATGAAAACTGCTTATGTTGATGCTTTTGAAATTGTTGAAGATGCCATTGCCAACCCTCACAAATATGGTTAGTATCTACATGCACGTAGACATATATATATATAGATGCACAATATATGGGAAAGAAAGGTTGATGTATATAAATGATGGGTGGTGCAGGTTTCAGTGAAACTTCAAAGGGATGCTGTGGAAGTGGGACAACCGAGTATGGTGATACGTGCAAAGGGATGGATACATGTGGGGATGAGTCAAAGTATGTATTCTGGGATGCAGTTCATCCAACTCAAAAAATGTATCAGATTATTGCCAACCGGGCTCTGGAATCTCCCAGCCTCCAAGATTTTCTATCTTAGTTCTATACATATACATATACATATATATATATATATATCATTATTTGTCTAATTATATGTCATTTACTTGGACACATTATTGCTTAATTTATACATTCAACGTACACTTCTTACATATGTTATAATTAAATTTGTTTCGTTAATTATCAAGTAGCCATAGTTTTCACCTTAGGTTAATCAGCTAATGTTGGTCTATACAGTCCGTTAAATTTAATAGTTAATGTTTTATATTAATTTAGTTGATTCTCAAATTAAAGAAGGAATTGGATTTCTTTCAAATAAATATTCGGATAAATAATCTTAAGTATGTTTTCAATTTAACCCAAATTCGAATTAAAAACATTAAAAGTTAAATCTGACAATTTTCGAATTCAATCCAATTTCTAAACCCTCTTAAACCCTTCTTTCAATTTAAAATCTTAACCCAAACCCAATTTAATTGAAACCCAAAACCCAAACAAAAGACCAACCAATGAGGCCGAAAGGTCCATTCCAGCTCGAAACCCAGCCCAGTGTTCTTCAGCTTCTCAAAAACGTCACCGTTTTGGAAGCCACTTCACTTATTTTCTTCCTTCAAGCGCGAACGGCAGAGGAGAGAGGTGACTGAGTGAGGCAGCAGCATACATGAAATTGGATTTTACTTCAAGTCATTCAATACTAAAAGTTCAGCTATTGACACAGAAAATGTATATCTTATTTTCATATCCTCATCCTTCATAACACCCACAAGTAACAGTACCCACTCCTGAAGCTCCTGCCTTGATGTCCAAACATATATCCTAGCTCCATTGTTCTATCTCCATGACTATGAGCCATCCTCCCAACTGCCCACATTCCCCACCAACATAACCGTAGTCCATTGTCGGATATTAATGCACCTATCACTAACTAATATGTTGTAATAGATTGGAGAGTATAATTATGAATGCAATATAATTAAATACATAATTATAAACGTGCACATAGAATTAGTGCACTAAATTTTACACAACCACGGAAAAAACTAGTTATACATATACATATATACGCATATATATATATATATATATATATATAATAGGCATGACAATTCATATATGTATATAATGAATGAATCCATGGATAACAAAGTGAATTCTTATTATATATTAATTAAACTCTTGAATGATTTTGGTGTAGGTAGGAATGCCTGCCTTGAAGACGTTGTAGTACGCCTTCTCAGTTGGGTGTATAGAATCAAAGAAGACATATCTGGATGTATCAGGACACAAGTATGATTTTGGGTTACACAGAAAACTTGCTTCCAAGTAACCTGTTCCGCAGCACCCGTCGCTAACCTCATCAAATCCTACAAATTATTAAATAAAAACAAATCAATGACATACATTTGCTAATTAAATGAATAATAATAACGAAAAATGAATTAAAATGTAGTAATGAAGAAATTTTTACCTAATTGAGAGTGGGATTGAATGATGTTAGTCAGAGCATTATAAGCATCAACATAGTAGATTTTGAAGCCAAGATGAGCTAACTTCATTTGCATGGAATTCAACTCAGTTTGGAGCATGGCATTGAAATCTCTTGCAACTGATGAATATTTCTCTATACATTTGCGTTGTTTGTTGTGTGTCTCGACTGCATTCAACGTAATCACTATTGGCAAACACCCCATCGGAGGTAATCCAATTACTACCATCCTTTGAGCTCCTTCGTCCCGTAAACCCTAATAATTCATCAACACATATTGCTTCAGACAGTAGTCGTGAAAATATGTTCATATTCGATTTTATTACAAAAGATATTATAATTTTGAATAGTTGATACTCAAATGTTATTTAACATTTAAAAGGTTTCAGTACTTTTAATAATTAAATAGTAAATTATTAACTAAAAATATTTTTATAATAGAATAAATTTTGTAATTGCCTTTAAAAGAGTATTATTGTAAAAAACTTTTATAAAATAAATTGTTCAAAACTAAAGTCAATTAAATGTTATATCAACAATGCTACCGGTTAAATTGTCCCACTTTATTAATGTCATCTAACCACCACTTTGGTTCTCATTCAAACCCATTTCAATTTTCAACCACCTCTCCATCCACTGAAAAAGAAAATACATTTGTCTGCACATAACCACATGTCTAGTAATGGCATGCACGCCTTATTGATGTTAAATTTTCTCACCGCACACAATACTTCATCACTGCTCCAAATCCCAGTGTTATAATGAAAAACAACAACAACAAAAGTTCCTTGCGTAATAATTGAGTTAAATTGAACTCTACAGTCAGAAAAATGTATTATCACAAAAGAGCATTTTAGCTAACAAAAAGCTAGCGTGTATATATTTTAATTTATAGTGTGATATGGAGTAATGAAACATATATGTATGTATGTATGTATGTATGTGTGTGTGTATGTGACGTAAAAAGTTGGTGATGGGCAAACCTGGATAAGGTCTTTAAGATTTTGCATGACAAACTGCTGGTAAGCTGAGATGGTGAAGGTTTTTGGACGAATTGGTAGAGTGAAATAATTGATGACAAAATCATTTGTGCCGGCACTTATGAGGAAAAGTGCGTTGTTTATATGATTTTCCATTCTTCCCTTCCCAATTGCTGACTCCACTCTTCTTTTATACTCTTTAAAGTACTCCAGCTGACTGGGTATGTCAAGCACATTCTACATTATAATAGTATAACATAATGTAAGTATATTAAAAAAGGACTAAAACCCATTAAAATTCATCACTCAGACACCAATACCCACTTCTTAAATTAACTGCAAATGAGATTGGAAACCCTGATTAATGCTATATTAATCGTACAATTAAATAAGTAGAAAGAGATGGGTGTATATGCGTACACTAATTGTTGGTGTAAGAGGGTCAAATCCAGAGCCGGCGGAGGCAAAACTAACGCCACTCAACAGGTCTTCAGTGCTAAGAGTTGGATCCAAATATGGAGGAATATACTCCTTAATACCTACAAATGAAGCTGCATGCATACCCAGAAAATTAAACCAACAAATTAGTCAAACTCATTGTTCAACATGATTCTAGATCAATTATGTAAATGTGAAAAAGAAAAAAAAAACAAAGTTAAATATAATGAAATCGTTACCAAGAAAATCAGTGCCAAGGCGGCCATTAGAGAATCTTCCTGTAGGGATTTGGTCTTTGAAATCTTTCCCATAAGGCGGGAAATCACTTCTGAAAATTGTGCCAATGAAGTTATTGTTTCCTGGATCAACTGTGGAGTCTCCGAACACAAGAAGTGATGAAATAGTAGTTTTGTTAGATGCTCTGTGCTCTTTCCCACCTTCAGCTTTGTTAATCAAATTTGAAAAACACAGAAACAAAACAAGAAGAAGATGAAGATGAAGAAGATGAGGAGGATGGAGTGTTGGTGGAGAATGTCTACGGCAATCTTTCCTCATGTTAATTGGTTTGCCAAAACGAGGAAATGAGTTGGAAAAATGTGACTGACAGCCTACGTTATTGATTATATGTACGCAGTTATACACAGACGTAGTTAATATTTGATATATATTTTGTTTATATATATATATATATATATGTATACGTGTCTGTCCGTCTGGCAGATAAGCTTTTTGAACTTTAACTTCCTTTTTGATTTGTTTATATAACTTTCAATTACTACAATTAATGTCTCTCCCCTTTCTTTCTTTTTTCTAAAATTGATTGAATATCAATTTAGCTGTTAAAAAATAATTTATCAAAATTTAATTCTATGATTGGTCACATAGTGATTACGTGCTCAAAAATCTGTTCATTTCAATATTTATCTATATATATATATATATATTAACTGAATGATTGATAGAAAAATAAAATTAAGAATTTAATTGCAATACTAAAAAAGTTAATCAAGAACCAAATTGAAAACCGTGCAAGATCAAATACTTTTTGTCCTTAAACCTATACAAATTTGTGGAGGGTCGTCTTTTACCACTTACAATTCTGATGACCAGAAGCTCTTTCTGAAGTGGGTTTTTTCTTTTTCCTCCAAATTTGTGATTGTTATTAGAAGTTTAATTAGTGTAAAATCTTGATTCTTTTCCTTCATTTTCCATTTACTCATTTTGGGTTCTCTGATTTCATGAATGGGTAATTTTAGTGATCTTATTTGTGCATGAACAAGAACCAAGAAGAGTTTGTCTTCCAAGTGTTTGATAAAATGTCTAAGAGAAGAGTGATCTCCTCGTGAAGTGTGTGGGATTGTCTGCCCATTGTTTAATGCCAGTTGGGTGTGGAAGAGGGGTCTATTCAAATGATTTTTAATTGGGTTTGTGTGATTAATTTAGTTATAATTTATAGGTCTTGGAGATGATTTAGTTAGGGTGGGTCTATATGCATTCATTGTTGAAATGTTGGTTGCAAAGTTACATTACTTTGAAATTTTAATACAAGTTAAACATATTCATTTTTCAGAAAAATATCTTCAAATAATATTTCGAAGTTTGATCAAATAGAAATGAAATTTATAGTAAGGGTTCCATCCATAAAAGGCAAGAACTAAACAACCGAATATATTTTCAAACAATATTTAATTAATCATGATCTTTCGATTTTAAAAACTGGTGATGTTTTTATTCTACAACATAGAAATATGTATATGCATTAAAAATTAATACTTTGAAAGACAATTTGTCTTTATTGTCATCAGACAATTATTGAATTGTGTATTTATTGCAAATTAAATTAGTCAATCATATTTAGAGAAACCGAAGATTAATCTTTAAGATACGTTCTGAGAAAGTTTAAAATTCTTTAATTAGGAACTTCTTATATTATATGCTAGGCAAAATGTATTTTGGTCTAAAATAAATATTTTCAGCGTAACATTATGTTTTCATTATTTCTTTATTACTGTTGATGAATAAATCTCTTTAAGAGAGTTTATCAATAAGAAAATAAATAAAATAAGATGATTATATATTAAATTTTCTCTTTAACATAGTGGTAGAAGAATTATCTACAATATTCAACAAAGTTTTAGATATAAAAGTTTTAAGTAAAGTTAGTATTATATTAAGATATTTCAAGATCAATATATTATAATTTACTTGTTGAGTACTAGTTTTCTTATAATTTGAAAATTGAAAATATAAAGTTATAATGAGAATTCTTAAATACTTCAAGATAATCTTAGAATCAATAATTAATTTCGTGAAAATTTTTCTATTAGATATTTACTTATAGGAATATATATTATGTCAATGTAGAAGTTATAAAGTATATGTCTGGTAATCTTTTATTTATTTATTTAGATTTTATTTTTTATATAAATTTATTAGTTTTAGAAATCTAAAATTATCTATTTAAAGAAGTAGAGTTAAATTAACTAAATGAAATGACATATTCTTATAAAATAACAGTTAGAGCATTATTCATAATATAATTTTTTTTAAAAAAAAAAATAATTTTCAACATTGAAATTATCTTGAAGCACTTAAGGATTCTCGTTATAACTTTATCTACTCAAATTTCAATATTTGACTTACTTAAAGCTCTTATATTAATTTTCTAAATATTTTTTGGCGATGATTAATTAGAGTATTGTATGCGAAAACAAGAATAATATAATTTTCGCAACAAAATAAACTTTTATTGGTTTCCTTAGTTAATCTAACAAATTCTAGTTGTGTTTTTTGGCCCTGGCATTCCAATTGTTTAGGGGGTGGGTGTTTGAATGGGGACGAGGTGAGTTGTGGTAAGTTGGGGGGTTGGCTTATTAATTAATCTCAAGTTTTTTTTCCTATATATTCATGCTATATTACTTTATTTTAAATTTATACAATTTAAAACTCTATGTAATTTTATTATATAAAATTAAACTAATTTTTCTTAATTTCTAAACTCCAACTAAATGAAACCATATGTTATAAACCGACATTTTTCTACCAACTACGTTTATTTCTTTAAGGAAAAATAATATATATTAAGATTTATTTTATATTTTAAAGAAATTTTAGCTAATTTTTTGTAATTATTGAACTTCATTTTTTTTTTAAAAAAACTTATTTTTCCGTTAATTTATCCTACATTAAAATTCATTTCATATTTACAAAAAAAAAAAAATGGATCCAAATTATGGAATTTAAAATTTACAGCAAGTAAATTTTGTAAAGTGGGTTGACTTTTTCGTAATTTTTGAACTTTATTTAATTTAATTTTATTCTTTATCAAAAACTAAAATAAATTATATTTTTAACTAAAATCATTTGTTTTTTGTTTTTTTTTGTATTTGTTTATATTTTTAATTTTTTTTTTTTAAAAAAAGCAGAATTAGAAATTTGGCCAGAGATACGTACATATATATATATATATAACTTTTTAATTTCTGTCTCAGCCCCCTCCAAATTCTCCAAGCGTACTCTATCCGGCCAATTAGGAGTTTACTCTGATGACTCCGTTCTTGAAAATAGTGACCGGGTTCAAGTAAACAGAAGTTTAGGCGGGAATGTCTTTCTAATCTCCAGATTGGCCTTCGTTTTTCTTCACCATTATTCTAGAAGAGGAGCAATTAGGGTTTTCACAATCGGAGGAACGAGAAATATAGTGAGAAAATGGAGAAGACGATCATCGGTAGTAGTAGTAGTAGTAGGACAGTGAATAGAGGAGTTATAGAAGAGAACACATTGGCGATTCTCGACGCCACTGATTCTAAATACACTCGAGACGCCAATGATGATAGTGCGTTTTTTTTTTCTTAATTCTTTTCCTTGCATTCTTCACCTCTGTTTGTTCTTCGAGAAACCTTCGGAAGCAAAGTTGTTTGCTGCTTGTTGCATTCTTTTCCTGTTTATATGATTTTGCCGCGTCTTTCTAAAACTCAGCTGATTCCTGTGGTTATGTTTTTTTTTTTATTTTGGAATGTTTATTGTTACTGTGATTGAAGCGCAGGGATTGCATATCTTGAAGCTGTTCGTGCTGCTTCAATTTTACCTGAAAATGGAACATCTCCAACCAAGTAATACTCTCTCACTTTGCATGATTATTTGCAACTTTTATAGATTACAGCTTGATTGTCGTTTAAGTTTTCTTGATTTGCTTGAATAATTGCATGATTTATTGCCTTCTGATACGCGTGAAGCAAAATGTATGGAGCGGTCTTCCAGATACTGAGAAATGGTAAATCTTTGGAGTTGATGACGACAAGTTTTCTGCTTCTGAACGAGTTAGATGTGGTATTCACTTCTTATTACAGTCCTAGATACAGTTTGTTTTTGTTTGTTAGTTTTTTTTTCTTTTTTCTGTAAGCTTGCTTTTCCTTTTCTAATTTCGTTTCTTTTTCCCCAAATGCAGCGTTTTCCTCGAGTCTTTATATCAAACACGCCTAGTAGTGAGGCAGGCAAATTAGAAGTAGTGGATGAGGTGAGAATATTAATATCTTCTGTGTTTTGTTGTTTGTGAGTTTTCAGTTTGGTGATAGTTGATACTGTGCTCTGTATTTTATTTGCAAGCAGTGGTCACCGTTTACTCTCAACTCAGATGTTGCTTTGGATGGAGAAGCAGCCGGCAAAAACTCCAATTCACTCTTTGACTTCTCTGTGAGTCTTTTGTCATGTTCAATGTTATTTTACCTTTTTTCTTGTTTGTAGATGTAGTTTAAATGATGAAGTA